GGGGAAGGAAGCAATCGATTGAGCAGTTTCCGGAGCCGATGGGAGGGCAGGGCGGAGCGGGGGGCGGGTCAGGCGGCTCCAGGCCCCGCTGAGGTTTGCGGGAGGCAGGGTCGGGGCGGGGTCCAGGATCCTTGCTGGGGTGGGTGGGGGGGGCGAGGTGGGAGGGCCCAGGACGGGTGGGAGGGGCAATGGGGGCCGTGCCCAAGAAGGGGGCACACATAGAGCTCACAAGGACCTCAACAAGGCGCCCGCCAGGCGTCTCCAGCTGCACCGAGGAGACCCGACGGGAAGACCCGAGGCCAGAGAGGGGCCAGGCTTTCCCGAGGCCACCAGCAAGGCCCAAGCAGCAGAGGCGCTGAGGTCCTCTGAACAAGCCCTCACCCCCTACGAGTCTGGGATCTCCCGTGGAAGACCGTCCTTTCTGGGGGCGGGCAACAGACACTCCTCAAAAAGCAGCTGGCCCCAGGCTGGCCCCATCAGGGCCTAGAGACAGGACAGACAGCAGCCAGCCGATGGGCATTGAGCGGCCCCCCAATCTCCCACCCCCCCCCCAGGTGAGGTGTACAGCCAGGCACCAAGGCAGCAGAGAGCAGAGCCTCTAGATGGGACCCTGAGAGGAGACAGTGCCCGCTGCCCACCTGACCCTGGTCTGGCCCCAGCTCGCCCCTTACTGGACACGTACCCTGGGCGTCCCGCCACATCTCAGCGACCTCGTCCGTGAAACAGAGACAAGATGTGGCCAGCCAGCGCCCAGAACAGCGCCAGGCACGAGGGCGGGGCTCTGCCATGGCCACGAGGGCACACGGACATGGTCACGTCACCCTGTTTTCTCAGGGGCAGGACGGCCGCAGCGCAGACCTAGGAGACAGGCGTGTTCCCAGCCACTGGGCTGGGGTGCTCACCGAGTTGATGCAGCCCAGCTCCTTGTTGAGCAGCCAGGGCAGTGAGAGCTTGCCCTCGCCACGGTAGCAGGACTGGATGCGCGCCTTGATCTTCTCCTTGATGGCCCTGAGCGTGAAGAGGCACAGCGCTGACTCCCGTGGCGGCTTCACGCGGTTCTTCTGGCCCTGGGCGAACACGGTGAACAGCACGTCCTCGTCCTCGGCCAGGCCCAGCTGGCGGGCCAGGGCCCGGCCCGGCCGGCTCAGGTAAGCATCCTGCACCAGGCGGTACTCCACGCCTGCCTGCTCGCAGCCGATGGGGAACTCGACATAGGAGTAGAACTTGGGGTCGTCCACGCACAGCCGCACGATCTTCGACGTGAAGAAGTGCTCGCCGGCAGCGTCAGGCGAGGTCAGCTGCGTGTCCAACTGCAGCGTGAGGTAGTACACGAAGTGCTCGCTGCGGAAGCTATACACGTAGTAGATGTCGAAGGCCGGGAACTTGGACAGCGTGTCTGAGGGGATCTTGAGCTGCGAGGACACGAACTCGTCCTGGTACACGAAGCCAAACATCTCCGCGTCCTCCTCGTTGGCCATGAGCCGGCGGCTGGACAGCGTGGGGAAGTACTCGGACTTGCCGTCGATGGGTGTGCCCACAAAGAGCTTGGCCTGCGCCTGGCCGGGCGGCCCGGCGATCAGCACGCCGGCCATGCTGCCCGCCTCGCGCACGCCCGACAGGTAGTGCTCCTTGCGGTGGTGCGGCTCGCCCAGCTTGAAGAGGTCGTCCAGGCGCAGGAACTGGCAGATGCCCTGTGACGCGCTGCCGCAGGCCAGCAGGCGGTTGGCGGGCTGGTCCAGCAGCAACAGCTTGTTGACATTGTCGGTGCTGCCCAGGCCGTGCGGGCAGGACTGCACGCTGGGCGGTGGGTAGCACTTCTCGTTGTCTTCCACTGGGCCCGTCACGTGCGCCCGCAGCAGCGTCAGGTTCCCCGACAGCTTGTAGATGCGGTTCACGGCGCCCACGTACACCTCGCCCGTCTGCTCGTGGACCACCAGGTGGGTCAGCGCCCAGTCGCTGGCAGTGAAGGTGCGGAAAGGGGGTTGCGGACCCCCGCCCGCCCGGGGCGTGCCCCACAGCAGCAGCAGCAGCAGGATCAGCAGCAGCAGCAGCGGAGCCCGCGGGCTCAGATGTGGCAGCAGCATGACGCGCCGGGGCTTCGGGCCGAGGCGCTCGGGTCCTGCGGGGCCGCGCATCACGGGAGCCTCAGCCCTGCGGGGAGGACGGACAGGGCGCGTCACCTTCGCCGTCACCAAGCTCCAGTGCCCATTCTCCACCGGGATGTCCCACTCGTGGGGCGTGGCCTAACCCTCCGGGAGATGCCAGAGGGGCAAGGGAGAGCCCCTCCCCTCCTGGAGTCCTGGGAGCAGCTATACTGAGCCCCACACCCCAGCAGGCCACGCGAGCTCCACCGCTGCCTGGGAGTGGCCAGGGGAGAAGAGAGGGACCCAGGACCAGGAGGTGGGCGGACAAGACCTGAGCCTGCCCACGCCCCCCGGGGAGGAAGTCTCCCGGCTCCAAGCTCCCACGGTGGTGACCGCCTCTGCCCGAGCGCCTTGCAGGCTGGACGGTGCTACTCGCAGGTAGTAGAGGACACTCCTGTGGCCTCTGCAGAAGGCGGGGCTCCTCGCCTCCACGTTGGGGCCTCACGCCCTGGCCACGCCCCCAGCCCTGATCTCAGAGACCCCGGCCCGGCCCCGCCCCCACCCTGCTCTGAGGCCCCGCCCCCAGTCCTGCACTCTGAGACCCCGCCCCAGCCCCCGCCCACCGACCCTGGCCCCGCCCCCAGACCCCGCTCTCTAAGACCCCAGCCCCGCCCCCTCTCTGAGACGTCCCCCGGAGCAGCGGGGCAGCATGCACCTTCCACCCCCAGCCAATGGCTGTCCCTACCCCGGGCGGGAGGCCCCCGGACCCTGCCCTAGTCCTGTTTCCTCGCAAACAATCTCATCTCCCCATAGCCCGGCAGCTGGCAGCCACACTCCAGGTTACGTGTAGCCTCTGGGGCCCGCAGCCACGTGGTTGACCGGGTCGCCGGCCGGGGTCTCCCCGTCTGTGCAGCGGTGACCAAGAGGCTCCTCTCCCGACTGACAGCGAGCAGGCCGGGGTGCCCGCTCAGGGTCCCGCCTCAGCGGTCCCTGGATCTGCGGGCTGAGGGCAGCAGCCATGAGCTCTCCAGCTGTCTGTCACCCCCGTAGTCTGAGGCCCGAGCTGTCCCCAGACACTGTCCCCATCAGCAGGAGAGCTGCCTGAGCCCCAGAAGCCCGCCCAGGACCTGCCCTTGTGAGTGAGTGAGTGGGCCCTGCCCCCCATCCCAACCTCACTCCCCACACCCTCTTCCCCTCAGGGCTACTGAGCCCGGAGAACTGAGTGGGGGCGCTGGTCAGCACCCGCGGGTGACGGGTGAGGGCCTGAGGGGGCATGCTGAGCCCCCAGAAGGGGGGGCTCTGGACAGCACCCCACAGGAAGGGCACCAGGCCGTGCTGCCGCAGGACCCTGCCCGCACGCTGTCAGCTATCCGCTCACTCCCCGCCCAGACGTCCCCAACAACTATGGCCGCCAGGGACCTCCCAGGCAGCAGGGAGACCCAGCCCCTGCCCCCAGCTCAGGAGCCCAGGGCAGAGCAGAACCGGAGAACAGTCTCCTTAGGACTCGGCAGGGCCTTGGCTGAGTGCTTGCGAACTCCAAAGAAAACATGAATCACTCACCGTTTATCAGTTCAAAGCAGGCCTGCAATTACCAGGGGCTGGGCTCTCCCCTCCTCCGTATAATTATACATGTCCTAATGCAATTACGGGCCCTACTTTTTATATTAAACAGGAGGGACCCAGCTGAAGAAGCGCCATCCAAACTCCAGCCTGGCCGGGGGGCCCGCTGCCCCTCCCCCAATAGGGCTGCCCAGAGGACCAGTCAGGGGTAGGGGGCTGCAGCCAGGAAAAGGGGGCCTGGAGACCACCCCCTCACAGGGGCCACTAAAGACAGCTGGAGGACTCCCCCTACCCGCGAGGAACCGGGCCCATGGCTCAGAGAGACCCAAGGTCACCCAGCTAGTTGTGCACACTCCTACAGAGACCTGGACTCCCACGGGCCTCTGCTCTGCCCAGGAAAAAATGCATTCATTCCAGAACGGCTGCTGGGGAGGGCCATGCCGGCCGGGGGGAGGGGAGCCCTGACAGATGCGAGCTCTGGGCCCAGGCTGGGGTCTGGGGAGGCCCTTCCACCTGCTGGTCAAGGACCAGGCCTGGCGCTAGCGGGGGAGGGGCACCCCAGGAGCAGAGCAGCAGGAGCAAAGGCCAGGGTGGAACCTGCTGGACCGCGCAGAGGGCAGTGAGGGTGCCCACAGCACCAATCAGAGCCAGGCTGGGAGGGAGAAGCTGCCTGGGGCACAGGGCTGGGTGTGCCGACAGGAGGTGAGCAGGGCAGGGAGCGCCCGGGCGGCCTCCACGCCCTCAGAGGACCAGCTCAGCCGTCTGCCAGGGCGTGGAGAGCGCGCCACCCGCTTCTCTCCCGGGCCCGCGGCCACCGCTGCTCCGCGCCCTGAGAAACAAAGGCCTTCAGAGGCTTCTTCCCAGAGGGACGGCCCCAATCTTTCCCCCCGCCCCACTGGCCAACTCCCCAGCCGCATCTGGACCCTCGCGGGGCTCGGACAGCTTGAGGCATGGGGGACGGAGAAGACACGGCGTCCTACCCAGGGATGCCTTGTCGGTCAGCAGCCGGCACCAAGAGCTGCCCCGTCACCCCACCTCCCCCACTCAGGCCCCCGGAGGTGATCCCAAGCCGCCTGCTCCCCTCCAGGCCTGTCTGGGATCCGGGGCACTCGAGTCCCGCTCGTCAGGCAAAGTGCCTGTCTCCAGCTCCCCCAAGTTATCCTCTCCTCCCGACCCCATTTCACACCCGGAGATGTTCCTTGGGATGCGGAGGGGCTTACAACACACCAACCCGGCAGAGCCAGCAAAGGGCAGTCAGCTTGGTTCACAGCTCTCACCCGCCCCCACCCCCAAGCACACAACCTCAGCCACAGCAGCGCTGGCCAGGCCTCTGCAGTGCCGTCTCCTCTACCTGAAATGCCCACTCGGGGGCTCCAGGGCCCCCTCCCAGGCCGACTTGCTGCCAGGCCTGAAAGAAACCACTGGCTTCCCAGTGAGCCCCTGGCGCAGCACCCGGTCTTCCCTGCACACCCCGAGTCAACAGGGCACCAGGGGAACTGCCTGGGCAAGCTCCCCAGGGCCCGAGGAGCCAGGCTCAGCCCACCAGAGCAGACCCTGAGAACTCGCCTCGGCTCGGAAAGAGGTGGGGCAGCGCAGAGGGCCGCACCGCCGGATCCCAGGCTCAGGGGCTGAAGGCTCGGTCCACGTCCCCCAACACACACCCCTCTTTCTTTCAAGGGGCGTGGCCCCAGCACCCCACTGATGAACCAGGGGCAGCTCCGGGCCCTAGACGGCCGCCAGAGCTCCTCTCGCCCCCTTCCTGGGCTGGCCCTGTGGTCTCGGAACGGGCGTGGGTCCCCGGAGTCGCAATCCCCTACCCGAAACCGCCCGATCGCGCCCCGCGACCGCCAGCCCCGCCGCCCACCAGGCCCAGGGACGCGCAAGAGCCCTCGGAGCGGCCACGGGAAGCGACTGACCCAGGAGAGGCCCCGCGCGGGGCGGCGAGAAGGCCGGGCGCGCGGCTGGCGCACCGCCCCTCCCAGCCCGCGCGGGCCTGCGGGCCTGGGCGGACCGGCGCCCACTCCGACCCCGCGGGCCTGCCGGCGCCGGACGTCCAGCGCGCTCCGCCGACACGGGCCGGCCGAAGGGCCCTCCCGGCAGCGCTGCAGCGAACTTTCTCCCCGCCCGGCTCGGAGGAGGCGGCGCGGCCCGCGAGCTCGGCGGGCAGGGTCCCATCCCGGCCGGGCGGGGACGCGCGGGCTCAGTGCCGGCGCCGCGGCCGCGCCCGGACACGCGTGAACCAGGCGGGAGCCGCAGGGACACGCGGGGGCGCGGACACGCGCGCCGCAGCGCCCCCCCCCCCCCGCGTGACCCCTGCCCGCTGCTCGGCCGCAGCCGCGAGGAGGCCGGCCCGGGGCCGCCCGGAGCCCGGACCCCCACTGGACCATCGCAGGACCCCCGCCCGCCCCGCCGCGGGGAAAGTTGAGCCCCTACTCACAGGCTGCCCCGGGGCGCGCCCGCCGCCCGCCATCGCCGCTCGCCGCCCGCGCCGCCGCCCGCCCCTGCCCCGCCGCGGGGCCGCCGAAGCCGCGCAGGCCGCCCAGGCCGAGGCCGCCGCGCCCGGGCTCCGCTGCGTGGCCGCCGCCGCTGCCCAGCATGAATGGGGCGCCAGGCGCGCGGATGCGGACCGGCCTCGCTCTCGCCGCCCGCGGAGCGCCGCGCGCATGCGCCGCCCGGGGGGGCCGGGCCGGGGCGGGGCCTGCTCGGGGGCGGGGCCTGCTCGGGGTGGGGCCGGCGGCGGCCTCCAGGGGGCGCTCGATCCCCGCCGCCTGCCTGGGCCCCACCACACGCTGTAAAGGGCAACACCGCCGCCGGCAGCCGCTGCCCCGGAACCGGACCCAGATGCGGCCGCGATCCAGAACGGAGGTCTCGGCCCGGGACCCTCAGGGGGCTGCGGAGCGCGCGGCCCGGGAGGAGGCCAGCGGAATGGGTGCGGGGACTTGAGCGAGGCGCACGGTGCGGCGAGTGGGGTCCGGGAGCCGCACCGGGCGGGGGTCGCGGGGCAGGTGGGGGGCGCGCCGGGTGGGGGTCGCGGGGCTAGGTTGGGGGAGCAAGAGGCGGGGGTCGGGACGTAGGAGCTGGCTGGGGCAGGTCAGGGGCGTGCCGGGCAGGGGTCGCCAATCCGAGCTCACGAGTCGGCAGGGCAGGGGCCGTCCCCGTGGCCGCGCCCCCGCAGCAGCGCGCGCGCCCCGGAATCGTCCGAAGGTGGGTCCGTGGGGAGGCACCTGGTCAGGGCGAGGCGAGGCGGCAGGAGCCGTGCGGATGGCTGAAGGGCCCGGGGCCGGAGTGCGGGGGGACGAGCTGGGGCGGAGCCACAGACGCCAGATGGCCGCGAGCCAAGCGGTCACCCGCAGGAGAGGGACCCTGCAGGCCCCGGGGACCCCTGCCCCTCCCCACCTCGAGGGGCTGAGTCCTGGATTCCGAGCTGCTGTTCTCCATCTCCTGTGGGTCTGGCACGGTATGTCACGCTTGTCGCCTGCGGAGTGACATCTGGAGACGTGGGGTCGCAGTCTGCCTGGTGGGGGCCCGACCCTGGCCAGAGTCCGGAAGGTGTGCGGATCCCAGCGTGGCTGGTTGCGCGCAGCGGGACCACCCGTTCTCAGAGCCTGCCCTGGGCCCGCACCCCCCTCACTCGGCCTCCGGAGTGACTCCTGTCACCTATGGGCCCCTCCCCGAAGGACCCCTGACGTGACACTCGGCCTCACGCAGGGCCATCCTTCCAGGCGGCGGATAAGGCAGAGCTGGTCGTCTCTATGACCCTCGGCCACCAGCGTTCTTCAGCCTGTCAAAAATAAAGGAAGATAGGGGTCAATGTGACTACCTTCATGTTGGTTATTTTTGTTCATTAAAAGTTACCAGAGGAAATACCGAGGTAAGCCAGGCCTTGGGACAAGGCATTTACAACACCTGTACACCTCACAACAGCCGCGTAGCCAGGATGTAGGAGGGACCCCCAAAAACCAATGAGGAAAGGCCACAGTCCGTCAGGGACCCAGGACAGAAACCCCAACACACAGAGCGCGGAGCAAACAGTGGCAAATACCTGTTGCTCCCAAGAGCCCCGCACAGTGGGTCTCTGCCCCCGGGAGGCCAGTCTGGTGCAGATGGAGAGGGGAGCAGAGCGGGGGACCTTGGGGACTGGAGGCTGCGGCCCAGGCACCACCACCACCACCACCCCGCCGCCGCTGTCCCCTCACATGGAGGGAAATGAGTCAGCGGGCACTGGGCTCTTCCTCCTTGGGTTTCCTGTGTGGGTTTCGCTTCTGTTGCCACTTGAGAGGGCAGGCAGTGTGTGGGGCTGCGGGAAACAATTGCAAGAACCAGAATCAAATCCATTGGAGGTGGAGGGGGAGCACTTCCAAATGTGCATGTTCCTTCGGGACTGCTTCTGCATTTCTATCTCAGAGCTTTGTGCAGAAGCAACTCTGGGGACCTCTCCGCAGGGGTCAGAGGAGGGAGGGACCCTCCTGGGCAGATCCTCCAGGGGGTCACTTCACAACCTCCCACCCCACTCCCACGGTGCGTGCACACGCGCACACGGAGCCAGCCCTGAGTGTGCAGCGCCCTGAGAGGTGAACACTGGCCGCCACTGGACATGCAGGGTGGCTACAGTCACCGTCGCCTCTGGGAAGCCCACTCTGGCCGCTGGGTGGGACAAGGACGGCAGTCTGCCAGGGGCAGCGTCAAGGAGATACAGACGGAGGGCCGTGCAGAGAGCTGTGTCCCAGAGCAGGAGAAGGGCTCACCCGGGCGCAGGCCCTGAGGGAGGCCCCCCGCCCTGCCCTCCCTCCTCGGCAGGCCCCGTGGTCAAGCGGACGGGCCTCACCTGATCCGAGCTCCCGGGGCGTCAGGGGAGCTGCAGGGGGCAGGGCACGCTCCCCCCGTCCCTGGGCTCTGCTGCCCACGGTCACGCCCCTGCCAGCCTCTGTGCCTAGTGACCTTGGCAGCTCCGGGTGCTCCTTGCCCAGCAGGTCCGGGAGGAGCCCCAGAATGGACCCTTGTGGGTGGGCTGGATCAGGGGCCCCCACGGACCCGTCACTGCAGCCAGGAGTAGAGCCTCCTGGGCCATACTAGTGCAGGGAGCTCTCCAAGCGAGGGCGGCTTCAGGGACGGAGTCCCCAGAGAAGGCCCAGGTGCAGGCATTAAACGAGCTGCTACAAGTGGGACAGACAGGGCCCCAGTCGGCCGCCGGCCTCCTCCTCCCCCGGGTCCACCGGGCCTGTGCCCCTGCTATGCCCTCAGCCAGGGGGGCCCCTGCTGCTGCAACCTCTCAAGGCCCAAAGTGCCCTCCACCTCCAGGAAGCCTTCCTGACAGCAGCTTCCTTGGGTTTCCTGGCCCACTTGCGGCCAGTGGTGGTGAGTTTGGGCTGAGTCGCCGTCCTTGTGGAGGCGGCCAGGTCACTGTCAGCACCATGCTATAGAGAAGACAGGAGCAGAGCCCCTGCCTGCCACTCCACAGACACCCCTGAGAGCCGTGGGGCTCAGGGTCACCTTGTCCTGGGGCTGCAAAGTGAGACGGCTTCAGGGGACAAGTGGATGACCGATGTAAACAGTGGCACAGGCTGGCTGGCGGGTTCCTGCCCCATGGAAAGCAGGGACGCAGCATCGGGCAGGCTGGAGGGAAGCGGCAGGAAGAGCCCAGCCAGGGTCTGCAGCTGGCACAGCATGCACTAGCCCCAGGGGCTGCTGAGTGGGTGCCTGTCACCCTGGGGGTCACAGGCAGCTCACAGGGGACGGTCCTTGGACGGCTGCCCTCAGCAGGACCGTGGCCTCCACCCTAGGGGGGGCCCAGGGGTGAGAACCGAAGCAGCCCCAGCCCCCTCGCTGTGCTGAAATTCCCAGGAGGTGGCACTCCCACCCAAAGTAACCGGCAACCCGTCTGCCCATACCCATAGGGCCAGAGGAGGCCAGTTATGAACCCAGGGTGGAGAAGCAGATGGGGGTCTCAGCCCACAGCCCCCAAACGTGCAGGACCCCACCCACGTCGCCATCAGAGCAGCACCGGGGAGCCAGCCTGGGGGCACAGGGCCAACTGATGCCAATGTGCAGGTGATGCGAGGGAGTGGCTGGCAGGGCCCTCCACCTCGGAGGAGTCAGGGAGAGAGAACCCGGGGCTTCGCAGGCCTGCGTTGCCATTCCTGCCGTCAGAGATCTCAGTGCAGAAGGGCCACGCCTGGGACAGCCACGGCGGGGACGCGGACACACGGGCAGTGACGGACGCCTTTGCTGAGCGTCAGACGCACACTGGATGCAGCGCTGGACCGGGTGCCCCAGCGGGCACGCCGTGGCAGGAAAGCGGTGGGCAGCACAAAGGAGAGGCGGAGTCCAGCGCCCCCAGCATCACGTCCACGCCTGGAACTTCTCTGAAACAACAGCTTTCAGGGCTGCAGCAGGTTCCGGGGGCCGGCGTCAGCCAAGCGGGGCCAAGTCTACATTCCTGTCATGGTGACTGTTCACGGAGCGCTCTTGTGGCGGGGGAAAGGACACACGCTGGGCACGGGCGTCAGCACCCACGCCGCAGGACAGTCCCTGGGGTGTGGGCATTGGGGCTCTGGAGAGGGTGCAGGCCTCTGCCCTGCCCTAAGGAAGTTGTCCCTGGAGACGACGATCACCTCCAAGTAGGCAGGGGACGGGGACCCTCCATGGCTGCCCCTCTGGGAGCAGAGCTCAAGACCCAGACCTCCCAGAGCCCAAGACCTCGTGGCCGGACAGGCTGGACAGTGGACGTCCCGCCAGTGGAGACACCCGAGGGGTCCGGCCCACCACCCCTCCTGACCGCGTCCCCGTGACTCCAGTCTCCCAGCACGTCACCTCCTCGGAGACTCTCCCGACTAGAGCCCCGAGCGCGCCAATGTCCCGCTAGTTCATACGTTGGGCAGGGGGGGCAGCCCAGGAGGCTGGGGGCCTCGACACAGCCCGAGTCCCCACTCTGCTGCTGAGCCGCGCAGCTGGGCAGGCCGGCCCCCGCAGTCAGACCCAGATCCCCTCCCAGGCCTACCCCACACCCCTCGGTGGCTGCTGCCCATGGGCACAGGGGGTCTCGGCGTGGGAGCAGCGGTGCAGAGAGGGAAGCTGGAGTTTCTAGGGAGGCTCTGGAGCCACCCGAGTTCCCCTGCGTGCCACCCTTCCTGGGAAAACCCTCCCTGGGGGAGATCTCTGCACCCTGGGGCTCCGTGTAGGAGAGCAAAGACTTCGGAGGCAGAGACTCGGGGCCCCAGTTCTTGCAGCTCCGCTCCTGCCAGGGGCCCACCCTTCGAGTCTCAGGGTCACTGTGAGGGTCAGAGGACTCCCCAGCTGCCTCAGCCTGCCCCTGCCCCACCGGCCGGCAGGGAGGGGCCGTGAGCGTCCCCCTCCACAGTGGGGCCCCTTCCTGCCCCCCACGCCTCGTCACAGGGAAACTCTGTGATTTCCCGAACCCACCACGAGCTCCCCATGTGATGCTGTTCCCTGTCCCCATGAGGTCACCCTGCTGACCTTGCCCAGGGCCCTGGCCCAGCCCCGTCTCTCCCAGGAAGCCTCCCTAAGCCCTGCCCACCTGCGGGTCATCAGCAGCCCCGGGCCCGTGGGCTCTGGACCTGAGTGCATGTCAGGACCTGGGTCTCCTCCGTGCGGCACCACCGCGGGGTCCCTGGCAAGGACAGTGAGGAGCAGACAGGACCAGCTCCCCGTCTCCTGTGTCCTTGGCGGGGGTGGCTACGGGCAGCCGCGCCACCTCCCACCCCGGGCACAGGCCCTGCAAGGGGCAGGGGCCGGCAGGGAGAGCCAAGACCTGGCCACACCGTTGCCTCAGCCGCACGCACTGCGGGGCAGGCGGGGCTCTGGGAGGACAGATGCCAGAGGTGGCATTTGAAATCTGTAGCAGCTAGAGTGAACCAGAGAAACAGAAGACGGGAACAGTCCTGATGAAAACCAGGCTCCGCTTCACTCAAGGACACCTTCACTGATGTGGATGCCTGCTTCAGGCACGGCTGGCTCCAGGAGCCCAAGCATGTCCCTGGACGTCTGCCTCTCAGCTCCACCTTTTTGCGTGTGCATTCTCGGGGGTGATGACCCCGGCAGTGCACTGGGCCCACTGGAGTCATGTGACTGACTCTTCCCACTGCTCACTGTAAGGGAAATGTCCGGGTGCTGGCAACCCCCCTGATGGAAAGCTGCCTACAACCCTTGACTTCCAAGAGGTCTGGCCTCTTGGGTTTCTAAGCAACTTAAACAGGGCTTTTAATTTTTAAAATATTACACTCATGGTAAAAAAAAAAAAATCCAAGTGGTGCATGAACGAAGCCCCAGGAAAGGCCACCTCCCTTATCGGGCCCCCGGTCACCTCCCAGGAGCGTGGTGTCCCCAGCTCCTTGCGTCCTGGCAGAGACTTGCCCGGGATGCCCCTGCCCCCTGCAGAGAGGACCCCACAGCAAGCCTGCCCCAGCCGCCTTTGCGGGCCCCCGTCTCCCACTAACAGGTTTCGGAGATGGTCCAACAGGGCCACCTCAGAAACCATCACCCTCCTGGAACCCAGCCCGTGAACTGGCCCCGGGAGCCGCTCTGCAGCGTGACCCGACAGGTCTGTGGCTGAGAGGGCGGATCCCGCTGGACGCCTGCAGGCCTCGAACCCCCAGAGGCCCGGGCGACAGCCCTGCTGAGGCCCCATGCTGGACCCGGAGCGGGAGGGAACTCCCCAGAAGGCGGGCGCTGCAGGCCCTTCACGGGGCCCAAGGGGGAGCAGCATGGCCGGGCCCGGTCCCCGCGTCTGAGCCCCTCGACCCAGCCATGCTGACAGCTTCCTCCAGGACTCCCCATCACACAAGCCGGCGGCCCCCGCCCGCCTGTCCACTTGAGTGGGCCCCCCCGCTGTGGGGTCGTCTACCCCGACCCTGCGCTCCAGGCGGCCTGGGGTGTCACCCCCCCCCCTGCGGGCCTCTCGTGGGAGCCCACGTTTTGAGGCTGAACACTCATGTAATCAGTCTACCTGTTCCACAGCTAAACCCCAGCAAATGCATCTTCATAATTAGTTGATGTTTATTTACTGGGAATGACCAGCCCGTTGAATTTAACAAGGCAGGTTGTCAGGTACGGAGCATAAGTGTCTTCCTCGAGTGGGACCCAGACTTGGCGGGCTGGCTGCTTCTCTGGGTGTGGGCAGCCCCCACTCCCGGCCCCCAGCCCCCCAAACCCTCTGGTCACCCCACATCCCCCCAGCAGGCTTCACGTCCCCGCTGCCTGCTGGGCAGGTATGACGTCCTTTGCTCGAGGAGGTCAGTTCTGCGTATGGGTGCCCACGGGGCCCACCAGCCAGCGGGAAGTGAGGGCAGGAGCCCCCAAATGCGGGCGCGGGACAGCACTGCCATGAGCCTCTGGAGGCGGGGGCGGTGGTGCTAGAGAGGCATCGTAGGCAGTCAAGAGCAGAAAAAGGTACATAAACCCCAGCCAAACAGCATGACCCTGAACACTCGGCAACGCGGGCCATGAGCCAGATGCACCCTCAGCCTGTCCCTGGGGCCGTCACGTGTGTATGGGCAACCCTGCCCCTCTCCACGACTGAGCTTCTGAATGGATCCCCAAGCTCCAGGCTCAGTCTCTGGGGGCCTCATGACCGCGGAGCTGGTGGGCAGAGCCCATGTGCTGCCTTGTTGCCCACGCCGTGATCAATGCGGGGTGGGGGGGCTCCGCTCCCCGGGGAGGCCTCTCCTAAGCGCCGCGGCCACGACGGAGGCCCCAGGTCGGCGTTCAGGACCACAGGCCTGGGGCATGGATGGGGTGGGGGGGTGCCCTGGGACTTCTGGGCGGACAGGAGCGTGCGGGGTGCCCATTAGGAACTGACCCCGGGGCTGGCATTGCCCACGAGGGAGGGCGCAGGGGGCAGCTGGGCATGTGGCCTCTGTGCCCACTCCAGCAGGCGGTTCTGGAGTGAAGCTACTTACCAGAGGGAGTGGACTCAGGTCACAGGCCGCATGCTGGAGTGGCCAGAGGGGCCTGGGCGGCAGATCCCCTGCCCTCACCCTTGCTGAGCACTGACCACGGCCACCCATCACGGCCCTGAGACGCAGCTGCCTCCCCTGGGCTCTGCCTCCCCCGGGTCACTGCCCGCCCCAGCCGGGGTGGTGGGAGTGTCCCGCTGCTTCGCACGTGGGGCTCATTAGGATGCTCGCTCCAGGCTTTCGCCCCTCCAGGTCCTTGGGGACCACCTCCATGGGTTCGGTCTCCGTCTCAGTGGTCAGGACTTTCTGGTTCCTGGCTGGACCCTGGACATCCCAGCCGGCGTGTCACGCTGACCCCAGTGACCGGGTGGGATGGGAACCCACCCCTGTGGACGGTCACACGCCGGGACCTGGGCCCAGCACGGCTGCCCCGGGTCCTCAGCCATGCTGCCCTCCCAGGCCCTGCTTCCTGCCACGGATGGCCACGTGCAGGGCCTGGAGATGTGGGCCCACATGCAGGCTCAAAGGCACACACGTGTGCACGCACCTCCCCACACACCAGTGACACTCGGGGGCATAGCCTGCAGCCACCCTGGGGGTAGGGGGACCCTGGGGAGCCTGGGGAGCTGCTGAGGCAACAGGGAGCTGGGGCAGGAGCACGCGGAGGCATGGCCGGCTGAGACACGGGCACGCGCTCGCAGGCGTGTGCACACAGGCCACTGCACAGCGCAGCAAGCCCGCTCTGGGTGGGAGGCCTGGAGGCTGGATGAGGCCCTGGGCAACAGAGGCTTCTGCCAGGGCCTCAGGAGGGCCGTGGGGGCTCCAGCCGAAGGGTGGCCCTGAGGTTGCTCAGGGCCCTTTAGCTGGGACCTGCAACCCCCGCTGACCACCGGGGACGGCCCCTCCGGGCATCTTGCCGCCCAGCTGGCTGCTGCGGTCCTGCCTATCTGTCCCCTGCAGAGCCGGGGATGCTGCCCGGGTCTCTGGGGGGCGTCTCCTCAGCCCACGTGCAGTTGGGCAACTCACCCAGCCCTGGACGCTGCCCCGCGCCAGTCCCACACCCAGCCGTCACCCCGTCTCCCCCGGCCCTCATCTGCGGCCCCCAGCACCAGCTGTACCCCCCCCAACCCCATCTCCCCCGGCCCTCATCTGCGGCCCCCAGCACCAGCTGTCCCCCCCAACCCCATCTCCCCCGGCCCTCATCTGCGGCCCCCAGCACCAGCTCACCCGGCCGAGAGTCAGCCTGGTCCCCTCTCCCCATTCGTGTCCAGTCCCGCCAGTTCCAGCCCCGGGCTTGGCCTGCTCTGTCCCCTGACCCACCCCCGCCCTCCTGAGGATTGCCGGGACCTCGTCTGTGAGGCCCTCCTCAGGCTCATTTGAGCCCCACTCCCGCAAGGCCAGGGTGATGCCGCTCAGAGGGGTGGACCCTGACGGTCTCTGCAGGAGGCCCCGGGGGCGGGGGCACAGGTGTCCCTCGGGGCCTGGCTCAGGACCGCGGGGGCTGCGTGCACACGAGGAGGCAGCCAGGGACACCAGGCGCGGACATCTGCTTTATTTGTCTGCAAGTGGGGCGCACACAGCCTTCTCCAGCACAGGGGCAGTGGCGTCGGCGGGGAGGCCGCGGCCGGCGTCTAGACAGTGGCCCCACAGCAGGTCCAGGCTTCAGGCTCCACATCACAGTGGGCCCAGCACAAGGCTGTGTCAGCCCTGCAATGAGAAGAGTCCAGTCACCGGGCGTGCTGGCCCCGGCTCTGCTCCACCAGCGCTGAGCAGGGGGTCCTCCCCACCGGCCCCAGGCCTGGACGGAGCCCCCTCAGCTGTGCGCCCGTGGCCTCCCGCCCCTGCCCTGGGCCCAGCCTCGGTGCAGAGGCCGGCTCCCCTCAGCCCGCGAGGGCCCCCCCTGTTCTCTCTGTGGGACCGTCTCAGCAGCGCCATCCACAGCAACACGGGTGGCAGGCCTGCAGCTGGCCCGGGCCCAGGGGACCCGCGGGCACCTGCCCCTCCCTAGTGCCCCGGGCAGCCCGGAGCTCTCGGGGGCCTGGGATCGGCAGGGAGGGTCAAGGCAGGGCCTCAGGGTCAGCCTGGGATGGCCACGACCCCCTGCCACCCCCAGGCCAGGGCCATCAGGCCGCACACTGGCCTCTGCCGCCTCGCCGTTCTACTTCCCACCCCGTATCAGGCCCCCTCCCCCGCCGCCCTGGAGGCCAGGGCCTGGCTCGACCAGCCTCCCTGACCTGGAGCCCGGGTGGGGCCGCGCGTACCTTGTGAGCAGAGCTGACGCAGTGCTGGTAGGCCCTCACCAGGTCGGCGCACAGCAGCACCTCCTGCAGGTGGTCGCGGTAGCAGCGGAGGATCTGGGCCTGTAGCCCGGAGCACACGGGCTCCACCCTGTGTGGCCTGCGGACATGGAAGGGGCCTGTGGTCACCCCAGAGCGCCTGCTGGGCTCCCTGCCCACCCGCCCTGCTGTGGGCCCGCTTCTCCCCCGGAGCCGTCTGAGTTCAGAGCTAACACACACAGGACGCACGCAGGACACGGGAAGACCACAGCACGCCTAGGGCAGAGCGGAGATGCCCAGACCCCTGCCCGGGGAATCTCCGCAGCGGCCTGGAGGGGTCACCGTCCCTGCTGTGCCCGTCAAGGGAGGCCTGGGCCGCACACTAGGCTCCACACGTGCTCATCTGAAGAACAGCTGCGTTCTCTTTTTCAAAGCGTGAAGCAAATACAGAAAGCGAAGCAGAGTTCACTCTCAAGTCAGCTCCTTTCTGACGCCTCCCCCGCGGTCCCTCCCACCCTCCCCTCCCTGGCCCCAACATGCTCTCCCGCACACACCGTCACACTTCTGTGCGCAGGCACACACTCACACGTGCGCACACACGGGCACACATGTGTGGGCACACGTGTGCACATACATGAACACACACGTGTGGACACGTGCACACTCACACGTGCACACACATACTCACACGTGCCCTCACGCCCCAGGGCGCGCGTGTTGAGGACCCTGGCCCCGCAGGCCCAGGAGGGGTGCCGTCTGTCACCCCCCACCCCCCACACAGAAACCAGCCGCTGAGACCAGGAGGCTCCGGGATGCACTTTCAGTGTCTCTAGGGCTCCAGGTGGGTCCACACGGGAGCCCTGAGGCCCAGGCTGAGCTTGGGCGCCTAGGAAGGACCCCACTCCCGTCCCCGGCACCTGCAGGGAGACAGCGGCCCTGCCCCAGGTCCAGCCCTGAAGTCCAGCCCCTGGCAGGTACCGGGACACACGCGGCTGTGGCACAGCTCACACTGCCCGTGTCTGCAGCTGAAGGCTGGAGGGGGCTCAGCGGCCCTCGCCACAGTCTCTAACTGCCCGGCCCCAAACGCCGCCCGATGCCCTCCCCTCCGAGCCCCAGGCCCTCTGACGTGGATGAAGCTAACGGAGGGCCTTTCAAATGCCTCCGGACAGACGCGCCCTCTCGGCCGCCCTCTGAAACACCTTCCTGTGCGCTTCCGTCTGCCCTCCTCCACCCCGCCAACCCTGCGCGAGGAGCCCTGTGCTTGGACAGGGCTCCAGCCTGGCACCCGCTGTGGTCCTTCACACCGGCCTAAATGGGGGGCAGGGGGGACCGGGGCTGGGTGAGAGTGGAACCTCAGGATGTGGCCTCAGCTGGAAATGAGGTCTTGGCGGATACGGTGGGTTAGGGTGGGGTCAGCCCCTGATCCAGCTTGACGAGTGCCCCCTCCAAAGGAGGAGGGACACAGGCCACCAGGAGAAGCCATGTGGCATCAGAGGCAGAAGCTGCAGTGACACGCCCACGAGCCAATGACACCAGGCTTCCCAGCAGCACAGAAGCTGGACATGCTGGACACAGGTCCGAGACCCCTCGAGTTTCCGAGGGAGCTGCCTACTGGCTGCAGAAGCCCAGGAAACACGGTTGGCCATGTAGGGGAGTGGCGGCGTGCCAGCCCGGCGGAAGCCAGCAGGAGGCAGACGGCTGGCCAGTCCCTTTCTAACAGAGAAGAACCCACATCCTCCATGATAGAGGGCTCCTCGGTAAGCGGCTCGGATGGGAAGGCCGCCTCCAGGCTGCCCTGGCTGCACCTGAGGTCCGCGTCATTCTGAGAACCAGCCTGCCGGGTCCGAACCCACACAGTAGCCTGTTCTGCAGGTGGGGACGCTGGTATCAGAGGGCTTAGGTGACCTGCCCGAGGCCACACCACACGAGACATGGCAAGCGTAATGGTCTGCTTGTCTGGCTCTATGGCCCCCAGGCTCCACGCTGCGTCCACTGAGATCCACTCCAATTCTGGAAAACTTCCCAAAGATTCGGGGGAAGAAACCGCCGAGGGTACGGAAAAGCAGCAGAAGACACGCAGGACTCCAGTTCCCTGTGGAGCCAGACACCCCAACTGGGAGGGCTGGCGCCCATGCCAGCGGGGAGCCGGGCCCCCCAAACCTGCAAGCCCCGCTGCCCACAGGCCCTGGCCCAGCCCCTCACATGTCCCTCTGAAGGCTCTCCTTCCACCAACGAGAGCACATCACCGCCCTCTCCCGTCACCACTGCTGACATAACCTCCCCTTGGCGACTGCAGTGGAACCTGGCCAGCAGATGTCTTTCCGACACCTCAGGCCTGAGCCACGCCAGCGGAGCGGACGTGGGAGCAAGTGCCTCATCACAGCTGAAGGGCTGGGGAGCTCCCTGGGCTCAGACGTCCGTCTCTGTCAGGGCCGGGCAGGCCCGGCTGCTCCCTGAGGACATACTGCCCCGGCCACGGCTGCTCCTTTGCACCCAGCCATCGGCCAGCAGCCACGGGGGCCTCCACCTTGGCCCAACCCCAGGAGAGCTCGCCCCAAGGAGACGGGGCACAGACAGACCCCCAGGGCTGCTTAGCCATTGACAGGGCTCCTCCCTGGGCTGCACACACGCATCCGTGCACACACATGTGCACAGACATGTGCACACACACATGCACACATGTGCACAGACACAGTCATGTACAGAGCCAATAGGCTACTCTTGACTCTGGTCCTTTGTGAAAAAGCCCCCGCCCAGGAGCTCCTGATTCAGCAGACGCGTGGAAGGGATGTGGGCCCAGGGGCCAGCAGGTCTCAGGGCTCAGGGGTGTCTGAGCAGGCCCAGGCCAGGACCCCCGGGACAGGAGAGCCATCCCCTGTGGTCCCTTGGAGGCCCGGGGGTGGGAGGCACCAGGGAAAGAGCAGTGCCACCTGAGGAACCCCCGGACCCAGATGCTGGACCCCCTCTTCCCCTGCTCTCTCTGAGGCCACCCATCTCCTGCTGACTGGAGTTCCCCCAGTCTGGCTCCCCAAGACACTCCTGGGGCCTTTCCAAGCCCGCTGGTGGGGCGCCCGGGCCAGGATCTCCTGCAGAACTGAATTCAGGCTGCTCCGCCCCCTGCCCCAGCCCCACCAAGCCCCAGCATCCTCAGCACCCAGGGCAGACCAGTGGCCTGACGTGCTTTCCTGGGAGCCGCCATGCCATGCGGGACACGGCACCCACCCTGCTGCGCCCCTGCTCTCCCGAAGCCTTTATGCGGGCACAGCCGTACCACCCCGGCCCTCGCCCTCTGCCCAGAGATGAGCCAGCAGTCCCTGCCCGCACGCTGAGGCCCAGGGCCCTCAGGGCAGCTCTCAGTGTGGCGTCCAGGGCACTGCGCCCGTGGGAGGAGGCTCGCTGGGGCCGGGCAGGGGCACCGCAGGCCCGTGAGGCGTGGCACCGGTGGGAGCCGCTCGCGGTGTCTCCCCAGGGCCACGGCCCATCCCTGGGGTCCATCTGCAGCTGTGAGGACACAGTGGCGGGGGAACTGCCCTTGGCACGTCCGTGGTGGCCCCTGTGAGACAGGCATGGAGCCCACAGGAGGGGCTGACAGGGGCCTTGACCACAGGGTCCAGGGGTGAGCCACCAGAAGCAGTGGCCGAAACCTGAGGCTGACTGCCCAGGCATGCAGACCCCGGGATGAGGGCCACAGTGGCCACTTCAGCCTCAGCTGGTCTGAGTGAAGACCCCTAGCCCTGCAAAGGGATTTGATTGGAGTCACTCGCAAGCAGAGGACAGCCCAGCACAGCCGAGCCCCGCAGAGCCCCATCAGGGGCCGGCCGGCAGGGCCATGTGGGGCTCGGGGACAGGGGACGGGGGCATGCCACGGGGCTGCTCGGGGCCTGCGGGCCCAGCAGTCTCCCCCTGCTTCTCTGCTGGGCCTCCAGGTGCCTCCACGTCGGAAGCAACGCCCCGACCTCTAAGTCTCTAAGATGGGTTGGACCCATCCCCTTTGGGGTCACACCCCACACACCCAGCACAGGGAGTGAACATGGCCAAGGCTTCTCTCCTACACCCTCTCTGCCCGTTCCCGACCTGTCAGCCTGCCGCCAGGACCGTCCCCACTGGGGTCACACCGTGTCTGGGTGCACACACCACATCTGGGTCCACCGGCGCCACAGTGGTAGCCGCCCCAAGCCCACGAGTCCCCGTTCTTGCCGCCTGACCATGCGTGCACTCCACGAGCCTGTGCTGGGGGGCGCAGGGGTCCTGGGGAGAGCTGGGTCCCGGCCCGACCGGCAGTCACCCCGGCAGGGAGGCGGCCAGGCCCTGAGATGCAGCGGGCACTGCAGGCTGCGGGAGGAAGCAAGGAGGGCCCTGCTCGCTCCAGTTCCCGTGTCTGCGGGCACCTGTCCACTCCCCCAGGCCCTCTGTCCTCACCCCGTTGGCCCCACCGGCCCCCCGCATCACCAGCTCAGACCCCTGCCTTCTGGTTGTGGAGGTGCTGGAACAGGAAGGGCCATGCAGCCAGAGGGACGTGTCCAGGGTCTGTGGTGGGGCTGCAGACAGAAGGCCTCTGTGGTCATGGAGCACGGCCTGGGGCAGCTCGGTGGACCGGAGGCCCTGGGGCGGCGATTCACCGGGTCAGAGGAAGACAGTGCCTCTGTCTCTAGGGGGGCTGTGAAGATGCATACTCGGGCATGATCTACCAGGTACCTGGGATAGTGCATGAGTTCTTATTCCTGAGACCTTTCTGTCGGTTTGAAATCACTTCAAAATAAAACCCAACATGCATGGCCATTTAAGACGACTGAATGTATTCGAAAGGATGCGTGTATCCCTGAAAGAGCCCACCAGGGCCCCTTTTCCAGCTGCGACAGGGGCAGCAGGAGGTGTGAGAAAGTGATTCTGCATCATCTGAAAAAAGCGCTGGAAGAAGCTCTCAGGTGCAAGGATTTGCTCTGGTGCGTATTCTATGTCTTAAGCAGCTGAGTGGCGAGGTGTGTTCACGCACGTCTGGAGCGCGCACACTGGCCCCAGCAGAGTCCGGGAGGAGGCCCCACACCGCTGCAGGGCGTGACTGGGCGGGGCCCCACACCGCTGCAGGGCGTGACTGGGCGGGGCCCCACACCGCTGCAGGGCGTGACTGGGCGGGGCCCCACACCGCTGCAGGGCGTGACTGGGCGGGGTCCCACACCGCAGCAGGGCGTGACTGGGCGGGGCCCCACAACGCAGCAGGGCGTGACTGGGCGGGGTCCCACAACCGCAGCAGGGCGTGACTGGGCGGGGCCCCACAACGCAGCAGGGCGTGACTGGGCGGGGCCCCACAACGCAGCAGGGCGTGACTGGGCGGGGTCCCACACCGCAGCAGGGCGTGACTGGGCGGGGCCCCACAACCGCAGCAGGGCGTGACTGGGCGGGGCCCCACACCGCAGCAGGGCGTGACTGGGCGGGGCCCCACACCGCTGCAGGGCGTGACTGGGCGGGGCCCCACACCGCAGCAGGGCGTGACTGGGCGGGGCCCCACACCGCAGCAGGGCGTGACTGGGCGGGGTCCCACACCGCAGCAGGGCGTGACTGGGCGGGGTCCCACACCGCAGCAGGGCGTGACTGGGCGGGGCCCCACAACGCAGCAGGGCGTGACTGGGCGGGGCCCCACAACGCAGCAGGGCGTGACTGGGCGGGGCCCCACAACGCAGCAGGGCGTGACTGGGCGGGGCCCCACACCGCTGCAGGGCGTGACTGGGCGGGGCCCCACACCGCAGCAGGGCGTGACTGGGCGGGGTCCCACACCGCAGCAGGGCGTGACTGGGCGGGGCCCCACACCGCTGCAGGGCGTGACCCCACACCACTGCTGCTGGCGAGAGCTCCCCGGCAGGTAAGGGACCAAGCTGCGTCTGCGCTTCATGCCCCACGCCCGGGAAACCACAGGGGGCCGCCCGAAGCCCGGCTCAGGGGGGATAAAGCACAGCGGGCGTGTGTGCGCGCGCATGCACCTGCACACGTGTGTCCTCTGACCAACAGTCCCCTCTAGAAAGAGTTAAAGTGCATGAAGTCCGTTAAAGCTGTCTGCCACAGTTGTCATTATATCGGTAAAAGAAGAAAAAATTGGGAAGCTTCTCAGTCTCCTTCAGTAAGTAATAGATTACATAAATTTTGACGCTAGGACACCCCTGGTGGTCCAGAGGTTAGAATCCACCTACCCACGTGGGGGACACAGCTTCTGCCGCTGGTCTGGGAAGATTCACATGCCGAGGGACATAAACTACATCTGTGAGCACAACTATGGAGCCCGTGTGCCTGGAGCCGCGCTCTGGGACGGGGAAGCCCGTGCAGTGAATAGCCCGCAATCCCCGGGAGGGGCGGCCTGCCCTCTGCGTGGGAGGAGACGCGTGCGGGGCAACGAGGACCCAGCACGGCCACAAGTACCAACAGAAGTCCTGCGAGGTTTGAAGGAACATTCTGACCTTACAGGGCAGCAATGCGGTATTTAACGTGAACACATAAACCCACACTTACAGACATGGAGACAGGTCCACAGGGGCTAGGTGAGGGGCTTGACGTGTGTTTCCAGGAGCCCACCGGCGCCCAGCGGTATGACTGTCCACAGAGTGGGCAGAGACTGGGGACAGGGCCCAGGAAGGGTCTGCCTCCCCCCGCCCGCTGCCCACAAGAACGCCGGCCTTGCCAGGCTCACTACGCGGGGGGCTGCAAGTGACCCACTGTGCCCAGACCAACACACACACATACTGCACGGGAGGGCCCAGGCCTTCGATGTGAAACCCACGTGAACTCCTGGGCTGAGCACTTCTCGCCACGTCAGCCCAAGCGAAAGCCGGAGCTCGTTGTCCCCACCGACCCAGGCCTGTCCAGCCCTCGCCGAGTGCACTTTACCTCCCGACCAGCTCCATTCACCATGTGAGAGATTTGCTATGCTGCAAATCACACTTTCTGATCTTCCTTAATTCCTCAAGATGCATTCTGCTGCCTCTGACGAAACAAATGCAGCTTCACTGCTCATTATTACCGCATGGAAAGTGTCATAAATTTTATACCCAGAACAAGCAGCAAGCTTTGTGTTACAAACGTCCTATTTTTCCTATTACAGCTTCAACCAGACTTTTGGCCTTTGCTTAAACAGGCGCTTGCACTGCGCTGCACACGGTCCTGAGCGGACGTGAGGCATCCACGACAAAGCCTGAGAGCAAAGGGCCTCCTATCACTGGGCTTCCAACCCTACATGCTCCAGCCAGGCACCGGGCGTGGCTGAGGGGCTGTCCTCCCCCGGGACTGCAGCCTGGCCCCGAGGACCAGGCACCTGGGGGTCCTGGGCCCCAAGGACTGGCCGCCCCGTGAGCCTGGGCCCTAAGCACAAGTTACTGTTCAGACCTGGGCCCGGAGGACTACTCACCGCTTAGACCAGGCCCCCAGGAGTAGTCACCTATAGTTTAGACCCAGGCCCCCAGGACTAGTCACCTTTAGACCCGGACCCACAGGACTAGTCACTGCTTAGACCCAGGCCCCCAGGACCAGTCACAGTTTAGACCAGAACTCCCAGGACTAGTCACCATTCAGACCCAGGCCCCAGGACTAGTCATCTATAGTTTAAACCCGGGCCCCCAGGACTAGTCACTTATAGTTTAGACCCGGGCCCCCAGGACTGGTCATTGTTTAGATCTGGGCCCCAGGACTAGTCACTGTTTAGTCCGGGGCCCTCAGGACTGGTCACCTAAGTTTAGACACAGGCCCCCAGGACTAGTCACCTATAGTTTAGACCCAGGCTCCCAGGACTAGTCACCTTTAGAGCCGGGCCCCCAGGACTGGTCACCATTAGATCTGGGCCCCAGGGCTTCGTCACTGTAAGGCTGTTGGGGCAGATGGGACCTGCGAAGCAGCACGGACACCTGGTTCAGGTTCGCCTAGTGGCCGGCGATGGCACAGGCTGGGGGGCCTGAATGCAGACCCTGGAGAGTGGGAAGGACACAAGAGGACGCAGGATCACAGGCCCGGGGCCCCTCGGCTTCCTGCCAACACTGACATCCTGCCAGGAGAAACCAAGACCCAGGGGAAACCTGGCTGCCGCTCTGGCCAGTGTCCCACGTCACCAAGACACGGCAGGGCTGTGCAGGCGCCAGGGACCCAGAGCCACGCGCAAGACGCACGCTCTTTCCAAAATGACTCCCAAACCCAAGTGACTGTGTCTTTAAAACAAGGAACCAAATGTCATAAAACTGGTTTTCCCGTCTAGAACCACAGTGACCCCGTTTTTCACTTTCAGAAAGTCCGTACTTCTAACCAACATGGAGAAGTTCACCCCATCTGAGACACAGCCAGTTTCCCTGACCAAGGAGACAGCATCAAATGAGGTGGGGAAGCCAGGTCCAGCGGACTGCAGCGGGGCCCTGACGGCGACACTCGACGGGCACGGGCCAGGTCCCGGGGCCAAGAACCCTGAGGAACTGCCAGGAGCCAACTCAGGGACAGGGCTATGTGCCCGACGGACAGGGAGGGGAGCAGCATGTCTCCTTCAGTGAGCCTGCGCGACTCTGACCACTGTCCCCAGGAGGCGGCGGCAGGCGGTCCCCACACAGAAGGGTGCGGGGCTCAGAGGGGCCATGCCCACGACACAGCCAGCAGCCTCTGGGAGGAGCTGGAGGTCGCTTGCTGGAGCGTGACCCCAACGGTCAGCAGGGTCCGGCTGGCGGGACTGCAGTGACCACCGAGGGGCTGCCCACGGGGTCCTGTGGTCTCGGGCTGCCCCAGGCGGTGGCCCCGAACCTCCCCTCATTTGCAAATGTGTTGAGGGGTGGGGGTGACAGCAGGAGTGATGGTTTGGGGACACTCTGAGGGGTTCTGAGGAATCAGCCGAGGTGTACTCTCCACTTCCCAGAGGCTGGATGGCAGAGAAGCCTCAGAACTGGGGCCCTCAACTCCCTGCAGTCTGACTGCACCAGGGACCCAGGCCCTAGTTCTGGACGATAGAACCTTCGGCCTCTGGAGAGCACGCAGGAAGCCCCAGGGCGGCGGTGGCCAGCCTATGCCCTGCACGCCGTTTCTCCAGAGGTGGACCCTGGGGACAGAGGGCTCCCAGGTTCCGGTGCTGCCGCCTTCTGCCGGGGCCTGCGGACTGCCACCCAGACCTCTCACAGCTGTGCGCAGAGCCACAATCACCATGCTTCCTTGGGCCTTCGCTCTGGCCTAGGCACGCGGGCCCGGAGACAACACGCCCCTGGGAGTTCAGCAGAGCCACGGCCTTGCCACCGTGCGAGGCCCTGAGGCCCGCTCTCCCACCCCACGGGGCCCTGAGGACCCTCCCAGGACTGCACCCCAAGTAACAGCTGCATCTGCCTCAGGCTGCACCCTGTTTCCTGACGCTCCGCCCCCAGGCCCCCAGCGCGGGAGGACAGACGGACATGACGCTGTAGCTCAGCCCTGTGCCACCCGAGCTCCCCCAGCCAGCGTCCCGCAGGGGCCTGCGGCTCAGGGCTGGGTCACCCCGGAACCAGGCCCAGCAGCACCCCTTCTTGGCTCCCTGGGGATCTGAGTCCGCAGGACACGCAGGACGTGGGCCTGGAGTGGCTCTGCCCCGCCCCCTGACAGGAGACAGAGCGGGGGCTCGGAGCAGGAAGGGACGCATGGCCGTCAGCGTCCCTCCAGAAGCGCGGGATGAGGCACAGGGGCAGGCTTCCCCGAGGGGCAGATTTCAGACACAGCTGAGCTCGCGAGGAGGAGGAGAAGCGGCTCTTACTTGATGGCGCCCTCCACCTTGGCAGCTGCCTCGTGGAACTGCTGTGATGACAGCCTGTACATCTCGAGGTTCTGCAGAGAGAGCACAGAGCCACCCAGTCACTGCGGAGAACTCCTGCGGCCCCACCCCACCCGCCGCCCCGCTGGGCCCACAGAGGCCGGTCCCCTGACGGCACAGCAGGCGGGCCCGGCGTACATGGACCCCGGCCCGGGGGTCACACCCCCACGAGCAGGGCCCTCGCCCACCTGAAGGAGAGCTTTATGGACACGTGGTCACACACGCGACTCGTGAGCTCACAGCACAGGCTGCTCTGGGCTACACAGGCACCTGGAGACTGTGGGGCCCGCAGCCCAGAACGTTCACCGTCTCTCAGGGCGTCTGCTGAGCGCCGTTGCATGCAAGCCCGTCTTACATGCTTCTGCTGCCCAGAGATCTGAAACAACTTGCCGCAAGCCTGGACCCCAGCCCAGGATGCCCGCTGCACTGCAGGGTCTGTAGGCCCCGGGCCCACGCTACCTTCCGACCAAGACCACCCCGCTGCGCGGGCTGGCAGGGAGGGAGCCACGGAGGGCAGAGCTGGGGGGCGGGGGCCGCAGGAGATGGAGCCGGGCTGGAGCCCACGGCGCCCCAGGTCAGTCCCCCACCTCTCTGTGCCAGGCAAGCAGCCTCAGGCACCCGGCCCAGCAGCCCACACACTGCACATCCAGGGGAGACCGACACACGACTGCCCCCAGCTCCCGTGAGGCCCCAAGAGGGCCCAACGTCTCCCAGGACGCGGTCCTCAGCAGGCCACCCCGGGAGGAACCTGACCCGGGGCTGCCTTCAGACACCCAGCAGGTGCCCGGTGGCCCGCACAGGCCTGGGCCCGCGCCTTCCCACCGCAGTGCAGGAGGCCTGGTCACGTGGGGCCCCCGCGGTCGTCAGCCTCCCAGCCTGGCGCTGGGACTCCACCTCCGCAGGAGACGCGGGCAGCCTGGACCCCTTGGACCAGAGGAGGTGACGGGGGGCCGGGCCAGAGTCCAGCAGGGCGGGTGCCGGCCCCTGGACCCCAGCGTCCACCGCAGGGGCTGGAGTGATGGGGGGCACCGGGACCAGGCCCTCAGCCCTGCCCTGGCTCCTCGGCCCGGGGAGCTGCCTCCTGGCAGGCACATGGAAAGGGTCCTGAGGAGCAGCGGGGCCCAGGAGGGGCGGGAATCGGCTCTGGGCCATGCTGGGGGGCCAGCTGTCAGGCTCGCCAGCGACAGCGTGAGCCCCAGCACCCCCAGCACATCCCTCACCTCAATGAGCACTGGGGGCTGAACACCTAGCACCACAGGCAGGAAAGGAACGGGGCTCCCCTCACCCCACCAGGCTCCCCCGAACCCTGCAGGGACGTGCTGACGCCCGGCCTTCCCCAGGGAGCCGCGCGGCTCCGACCTGCGCCCTCATGCACGGCCTGGACGGGGGAACTGGGTGCGCGGGGTGGCCTGGGTCTGTGGGGGGCCCAGGTCCGAGGCCAGGCGGGCTGGGGCTAGGCCTGTGGTGGGTGAGGTGTGTCACAGGAAGAGCCCACAAGCCGAGAAGCTCCGATAACCCCGGAGCTGCTTCCTCCACGGTCGCAGGGCTCAGAGGCCCGCCTTCTGCCCACCCGCCCGACCTGCCTGAGTGGGACCGCCGCCCCCACTGCTGCCCTGGAGCAAGCAGCACCCTGCGTCCACCCAGCCTCCTGCGGCCGCTGCAAGGTGCGCCTTCCGAGCCTGCAGCCAGTGAGAGCAAGGCCCTCACAGGCTCCACGGAAGGGCTTCAGGAAGGACGGGGTAGCCCCCCACACACGCCAGGACCCTGTGCATGCCAGGGGTCCCACCATAGCCCGACCACAGGGACTGCAAGGCTTCATTTTTCAGTGTGGTGGTGCCGTGACCCCCCAGCCCTGCTGCCCGGGAACCCAGTGGCACCCCATCTCCTGCACCTGGTGGTCGTCTGTCCCCTAAAGCAGACCCGAGGGTTTCGGAGCCCCCTCCTTGGCCTGTGAACAGCCAGCCTCCTCCGCTCACACTGCTCACAGTGAGTCTGAAACCAGAAGACCTCATCTCCATTAATTAAAGCTGCCATTAAAAATTAAATAACATGAGTAAGAAGGTGTGAGCCTTATCTCCACGGGCTTTAAGAGTCACAGTGTTTCTTCAATTATTTCATGAACAGTTTCCATATTTCATCCTGCCTGATTTCTCCAAGGGCCTGGGTTCTCAGATCAAAAGACAGGGTGGAGGTGAGCGGGACAGCTGCACCAGGGTGGGCGCCTGCGAGGCTGGGAGGCAGCATGCTGCTCCTGCGTGAGGACCCCCGGCAGCTGGAGCCCCGCGAGCCCGCTGCCCTGCTTCTCTGTGCCCTGCGGACAGTCACAGAGCCCCCGAGCAGTGTCGCGGGCCCTGCTGCAGAGACCACGGAGACGGCGAGTTTAAAACGCTCGCGGTGGGTGGGCCTGCACAGAGCAAACAGTGAACTCAAAAACCACACAGCCCACTGCACAGCAGCCACGGGAAGTATCTGGAAGGGAGACTGCGTTTCCCAGAGGAAAGCTCTCCGTGGGAGGGAGTCCCAGCTGCATTGCCCCATCCATGCCCAGAGCTGCTGGTGCTGGCGGTGCCCAAGCAGCGGCCCCTAGGAGCAGCTGAGGGGGGAGCAGGGCAGGTCCACCAGGGCAGGGAGAGACACGGGGCACATGGCCGGGGCAGAGAGCCGAGGGCCAGGCCGGAGGAGGGGCTCAGACCCTCCCCCAGCAGAGAGCATCTCACTGGACGCTTCAGGACAGAGGAAGAAACGGTCATGGCTCTGCTCTGTGGCCGCGAGAAGCAAACCACCACCTGGGGACACGGGGCCCAGGGGCTCAGGGGGACCCCCAGGCCCGGACAGCCAACCAGCGGGCCCTCCAAGCCCAGAGCAGCGCTTCCCCTGGGGCCCCCCCTGCCAGGCCCCCTCATGACCTGGATCCTCCCACGGCCTCTTTCCTCACACGCCTGACCGGCTGCCGGCACAGCCTGGCCACGGTATGAACTGCTAATTGGAGTGTGACGCTGGCTCCAGGTGAGAGCCCCCTGTGAACACCTGCTCTCAGGAACAGTCAGGGAGGAGGCGCCCCGCCGCTTCCTGCTGCAGCCCCTCGAGGCCCGGGCTCCCCTGGGCTGGGCTGAGCGTCCTTGCACATCGAGGGGCTGCTGAGTGTGGCTGGGGGGCTGCCGCTTGCCCCACACGGGAGAGAAAATGAGCGTCCTGGGCAGCTGTGTGGACAGTCCCCCTGTAGATGTAGACATCAACACAGACACGCACGCACGCACACTGCACTAGGCCCACGTAACATGGGTCCACGCTCGCGCTCTGTAGCAGGGCCCTTCGGGACGGGGGTCAGCTCCGGCTGGAGTGGGGAGCTGCTGGGAGTGCGGACGAGGGACCGGGACATGCGAGCTCTGTGATGGTGGCGGGAGGCAGGCAGCCAGGCCTCCATGCGGGTCAGCTGGTTCTCACACTTGCAGAAACATATCTGGCTAAATGAATAGCTAATTAGTTTGAAAACAAAATGCACAGCACAACAGGAAATTAAAAAGAATTTTTCAAAATGAAGAGACAAAATTTAACTACACTCTGTGACTTAGTGGTGACCCAACCCTGAGCAAAGGGCCGCAGGGTCAAGGTCCCAGGGTCGCTCCCCATGGGCAGCTGGAGGACCGGGAGCCACACGGGGCACGGACTCAGGCCACAGGGGTGCTGACCAGGCTCCCCATGCCGGGGTGCTGGCACTGAGACGGGGCCCCGGGTCTAGAGGATGCTCCTGCTGTAGTGACCGCAGACGCCTGCTTCCAGAACCTGGCCCCAGGCCTGAAAGCGTCCCTGTGCGGTCAGTCGGGGCATGGGCCCGCTGGAGCCGGGTCAGGGGCCTGTAGCAGCAGCGCTCCCAGCCTGTCTGACGGGCGGACTGGCCCGGGCCCTGCTGGTCAGCGAGCTCCCACAGACCTGAGTGCCTGGGACACCTGGGAGCATAGGGGTACAGAGCCAGGGCCCCCATAGGCAGCACAGCCGTTTTCTAAACTCCTGGGGCCCTTGGTGGGGTCCCGCCCTCCTTGTTTCCCCGTCCTGTGGCCTCACACCTGCAGGCCTTACCCCTGGAGCCACAGGGCTGTCGGAGCCCAGCCTGCAGGCTGGTGGGGGGTGGTCTGGGGTAGGCCCAGGTATTGGTGTTTAAAGAAGTTCCCGGGGGGCCCCCTGGGTACCCAAGTGAGAACCACTGCTTGAAGCCAGGGGAGGCTAAGCCTACTCTGCTGCTGCTGACGCTGTGCCGTCAGCCATGGCTGCTGCTCCAGAAAGAACTCCACCCTCTGAAAAACCTGGTTTTATTCCAAAACTGCATATTACAGAGGAGCACTACATTTCCCAGTGGCTTGATACTTGCGGTTTGAAAATTTTTAAAAGAAAATCAGAGGAGGAAGGAGGGCAGACTATCTCACGGGCCCTGTCACCTCCGAGGCAACTGGAAACACATCCACTCCCACAGTCAGCTGTGCAGACAGGCCTACCCCCACTCCTCCTGAACAGGTGAGTCTTCTGCATGCTGTCACCTCCTCTGACGCCAACTTCTGATCTCAGGACAACTTCAAAATGCTGCCAGACAGCAGGCTCAGCGGGGATAACACAGCTAAGTGCTGTTGCTGCAGTTTAGTCTCTCAGGCGTGTCCGACTCTTTGCGACCCCATGGACTGCAGCACGCCAGGCTCCCCTGTCCTTCACCATCTCCCGGTTTGAGTCTGAGCTTAAGCTTGCTCAAACCATGGCCATTAAGTCAGAGATGCCATCCAACCATCCCATCCTCTGTCGTCCCCTTCTCCTCCCGCCTTCAATCTTTCCCAGCATCAGGGTCTTTTCTAATGAGTTGCTTCTTCGCATCAGGTGGCCAAAGGATTGGAGCTTTAGCCTCAGTCTTTCCAATGAATATTCAGGACTAATTTCCTTTAGAATTGACTGCTTTGATCTTGCAGTCCAAGGAACTCTCAAGAGTCTTCTCCAACACCACAGTTCAAAAGCATCAATTCTTTGACGCTCA